CATTCAAACCAGAGTGTTCCACCTTCCTGGTACATGATAAACATTTACTAATTAATCCTCACAAAGCCTCGGTGAGGCAGATCTCTTCACACCACTGATTCTGTTTTATAAATGGGAACAAGAGGGTACAAGACACATCCTTTGAAGCTGGGGTTGTGTATGTCTTCAAACATGATTTAGGTCTCTGGGAGCCTGCTTGGCGTCTGTGTTTGAATACTGAGAGGTTTGTAAAAAGCCTCGGAGCCAGGATCAGAAGTCAAGGTTTCTTTGTGCCCCTTCACTATGCTTGGACCATCGCGGCGTGTTTCGATACGATTCTTCAGCACAATCTCCAGAATACTGATGTTTTTCCTGCATGGTCATATTACATTGCAGGAATGGTATTTAGAAGAAAAGCCAATGGTCTTAAATCTCAAGTAAGAGCAGTAGGAGTTGGCCCGTAATGTAGCTGCTAATTGTGTCAAAATTCAAAGGAACAAAACTTATGACCAGGCAGGAGCAGTTATTTGCAGAAGATCAGTATGAATTGCATGGGATGTGTGTTGTCAAACAAATGTGGATGTAATTTACACCGGGATAGTGGACTATCCATGACCATAGACAAATCAGAATTATTCAGTGTCATTTTAAGATTCTCTCCTGTCTCCCTGTCACTGCTTAAGGCATAGCATGAGTAAACACAGGATATAATGAAAGGGAGCTTCATCCCAGCACCGAGCTGCAGCAAAAGTAGGGATCTTTCCTGTTGATTTCTGTTTAATTTTAGGCTGCTTACACAGGACACTAATTTGAGTTTGCAGTAGATTCCATGACCTGTGCAAGGATCTCACACAACACAGAGAGAGAATCTGCAGCACTCATCAAAGAGCAAACAAAAATGGGGATGAACACAGCCTGAACTGAAACAGAGCTGTGTAGGCACGATGTTATGTGTTAAAACAGTGGACTAAAGTCCAAATTCCCGGTTAATCCATGCTTTAAAGTGCTGCCGTGGTGGCCTAACAAGTAGTTTCCTACTTTAAGGCACTACCAAACTTAGCTGAAAGTCTGGCTTGGGCGAGGAAACATATTTTTCCAACTTGTTTTTGGCTGAACAACCTTTGACACAACAAAAGTAGCAAGTTCTCAAGAAGAATGACTCTGCCTTGGTGACAGATGTCCCAGAGAAAGCAGTGCAACCTTTATAGTCTCAGTACAAAAAAGCGGCTCAGGAGTTTATTACAATTTTTGATACGTCAGAGATGTCACTAATAATACTTCAAAATACATAATAAAGAGGGAAAATGCTCTTTATCAGCTGCAGAGATTGGTCTAGCACAGATCAGAGCCTCTTTCATGGGAGTTAGAAGATTGCTCCCATCCCACCCATCTTCTTGAATTAACATATGCTTTTACAAGACAAGACATGCTGGATAAAATTCCGATTTGCTTGAAGTCACTGAGAATTTGCCCGTTGCTTTCAAAGAGGGCAGGATTTTACCCAATATTTCCCGCAGACTTTTATAAAATAGTGTTGAAAAAGATCTCAAGCGCCATCCTCCCCCTCCTCTCGCCGCAAGGCAGGATGGGCTACATCCATGTCAGTCCTGATGGATGTTCATCTAACTGGTCTGGAAAGAGCTGCAACACTCAATAGCACCTTGAGCTCTGCTCCTATTTTCACCTGTCCCAAGATATGAAAAAAAAGGACTGTTTTTACCAACTCTACCAGGATTTTTGACTGGTTTAAAGGACCAGTGACAATTTTAACATCAGATGTCTCCTGATTCACTAAGGATAGGAACTAATCCTATCCACTCCAGCGAGCTTTCCCATGATTTATTGACGTTTTTTCCCCTTTTATCTCTTCTTCTTGAAATATCTGACATGAAATCATGTCATTTCGATTCTCATCTTGTCTTTTCCTCCACCGTTTCTGTTCTGGTCTGATTTCAGTGGCTACTCCATAAGAACTGATAGTTAAAACTAATGCTTTTCTTTATCTGAAGGCCTGTCAGTCTTCCAGCAGTGCTGTATAAAGTGCAAAATTCTAATTCCAGGAGTGAAATGCCAACTGCTATAATTATGTTGGCAACATGGAAAGGTAGGGAGGTAGCAGAGCAATAACGACCAGGCAGGACTGGAGCCTTAGCGGGAAGGAATAGGAGAAGGAATGGGCAAAAGAAGAAATATTGAAGTCTGATCTTCGCAGCAGAGCACCTCTATGGTTTGGTTACGCTTCCAGAATGAAACATCACCAGTCACCGACTGCCCTTGGCCTGCAATCCAGTGATCACAGGAACAATGGGGGGTCTTCGCTTGGATTTCTAGAAAACCTGAACCGCACTCACAAATAGTCAAACACAGCTCCTCGTTGTCAGAAAATTTGAAATACGCTCCTTGCATCCCCTGCAACTACAGGAAACCTGGCCCACAGCTGCTCAAAATACATTTACGGTTTAGAATGGGAAACACAGACACAAAGATTAACATTTACAGCTGGAGTTTCTGGAAGTAAAGGTCGGAGGCAGATGGTCACATGTAGCAGAGAACAAGAGAGGCAGAGCTCCCATGCATTCTCTCTCATTCCAGTGTACACTATGCATTAAGCTTCACAGTAAGTAAATTTTTTAACGCTCGGTACACGAAATCCAACGGCAAATAGCACAATTCGTTGTTAACAAAACACATGAGAAAAGGCTTTGCACGTGGAGTCTGCTTTTAACCCTTACCGAGGGTTTTATTCCCCAAATACAAACACTTAACAATCTCTACTGGTGAAGGACAAGACAAAAGCTATAAAATACCTGGTTTCATACAGAATCACAAAACCTCCCATCTTTAAGGGGTCCCAGCTTTGCACAGGGGACAAAGCTGAGTAACACTGTGAGAGACTAGCAAGGGGCCAAACCAGAGTTTCAAATACGACTCTTTGCCAGAGGACTCCTCAGCACTGTTACTGACACCAAACAGTCCCAGGAAGGTCACTAGGAAGGTAGGAGGAAATCAGCGGGGCACTGGAGGAAGAATGCTGTGCTGCTGCCAGAGAAACCCTTATGTGCTCTTTGCAGGAAAAATAGCAAGTGGCTTAGAGCATTGGCAGGAACCAGGACCGTTGCTGGGACATACGACCCATGGGGATATGTCTTTAGTGTCACCTCAGTAGCTGTGGCTTTGAACTTCCTCAAGAGTTTGGTAAGATGCATGGAGAGTCAAAATCAGCTTCCTGGGGGAGTGGGAAAGATTTTTCTGTTCAGTGTTGTCTAAAGAATAGGTTCCTGAAGGCATTGTTGTAGTTTTTGTTGAAAGCAGTGTAGATGAGTGGATTAAAAAAGGAGTTGGAATAGCCTAGCCATAGAAAAATACTCTTCCAAATGGGTGGGATGTCACACGAGCACAGGGGGTTGATGAGCTCCGTGATGAAGAAGGGGATCCAGCAGAGCACGAAGACCCCGATAAGGATGCCCACCATGAGGGCAGCTTTCTTTTCCTTCTGCTCTCTCCACGTGTCTCCATCCGTCTGGAACGTAACAGTGGCGTGACGGACAGTGAAGACCATCTGTGGCTGCTGAGCAGCTTCTTTTACCTGCCAAACACAAACACAAGTTGCACTGTACGTGCCTCAGTCAGCTGATCCCACCCAGCAGGTACACAACCAAACTATGCCAGTGACGGCCAGAGCTCACGAGAAACCGCGGGGCCATCTACATCACGCTCTAATGGAGGGGAGAGCGGTCGTACGACCCTCTTCTGGGTAACAGAGACTATTTTTCAGTGAGGCTAGGAAGTAAAGAAAGTAGTGATATACAGGCACATGGGATTGCTCACACAGCACCGCAATTAGATTATTTCCCCATTTACAATCAGATCAGTGGAACAGGTACACGCCCATGTGCCGTGCACAAAAGTCTCCTTCCTTCTTCTGAACCCATTGAGTTTAAGAGTCCTTGGCAGGAGAGGCAAGAAAATGAGCATACATTTCCTTCCTCCCTCCTCCCCCCCCCCGAGAAGTCTTTACAGCGCACAGTCACCGTGCCCGGGATGAATTGACACAATGCAGCCACAACTAGGAAGGATTTACAAGGATGCTCTGCACGTGTGTCTTCTGCGTGGGCAAATCCACAACCTCCCCAAAGCCACAGCTCCTTGCCAGGTTACCATCCCCAGCGGAGACGGGATCCCACCCGTTCACACCCCCACGCGCCTCCCCAGGAGAGGAACACTGACCCCTTACTCACGCTCCTGAGCACTGATTCAGCATTCCAGGGGGGGATGTCTGTGAGTCACCGCACGCCCACGTGGAGCTCAGGCTGGCAATCTGGCCCAAAGTTGCTTTAGCTACACCTTGCGTGCTCACAGCTGGGGACTCGGAAGGAGTCAAAAGACTGGGCTTGCAAACTTTCCCTTGAAAGCCTTCAGGATTCACTGGGCTTTGGTGGGATGCTGTTTGTGTCTAGTTTCCCCCGCTGCCGCAAGGGCTTGGTCACTATCAGTGGCTGACTAGAGCAAAACAGCAAAACGCAACTGAGTTGACCTACCTCCAGGGCTTCTGGTGTAATGGGAGTGATGGAGTTGCTCGTCCGAGATCCAATTCGAAACTTGGCAGCCTTGTAGATTTTCCAGTACACAAAGAGCACCACACAGAGGGGCAGATAGAAGGCGCCAAAGGTGGAGAAGATGGTGTAGGAAGGCTCCTGGCTGACTTGGCACTCCTCATTGTCCTCTGAGTAAGTCTCTCCCCAGCCAAAGAGCAGCGGGGCCAAGGAGATGAAGGCAGAAAGAGCCCAGGTGAGGGCAATCATGCTGTTGGAGATGCGCCGCCGGATGCGGAGCGTGTACTCCAGGTGGCGGGTGATGGACCAGTAGCGGTCGAGGGCGATGGCCGTGACATTCCAGATGCTGGCGGTGCAGCACAGCACATCGAAGGAGATCCACACCTGGCACA